TGCGGGGAGCAGCGGGTGAGCTGTGTGCCAGGCTGGGGCTGGGTGCCCTGCTGGCCCCGCAGAGCGCGGCACTCACCGTTTTCAGTGATGGACAGGAGGCACATGAGGCGCAGGCTCTCGACGGGGGACACCTGTGGGAATGGGGTTAAGGGATACACCTGTGGGAGCAGGGTCGGGGGGCAGCGCGGTGCTCCTGCTGCAGCCAGCAGCCCCTGCTCTCACCTGGCGGTCGATGTGCTCCTCGATGAAGCTGGTGCTCTCACGGATGTCAAAGCCCTCCAGCAGTGCTGTGGCAGGGGCACGGGCAGCGTCACGCCAGGGCTCCTGCCAGCCTGCTGGGCTCTGCTGCCCTCCCAGCACCCCAGGGAATAGCCCCCAGCCCACCACACAGTCCCTCTCAGAGTGCAGCCTGACCCTACTGAGGAGCTTGGGACACCCCCGAAAGAAGGGGCTGCAAGGACAGGACCACACAGGGCACACCAGGCATGAGGGTGGGCCTGGGGCCAGCGAGGCCATGGCTCAGAGTGGGACAGACACGCAAGGAGCAGCACTCACAGTGTTCAGCCTTGATGGTCTCCTGGAAGTCCTGCTTGGTTTTCTTTTTCATGATAGACTCACAGGCACCGATATCTACACAGCCAAGAGACACAGTGCCTTTGAGAGGAAAGCAGCCCCTGCCCAGGATGGAGGACACGGGGCTGCCTGCCCAGCGCCACTGCAGTGTCTGAAGGGGCAAGGAAAGCCCCAGCACTGACAGGGCCAGGGCAGAGTGGGGAGCTGGCAGTGGCCCCCAGCCCCAGGAGAAGCCCCCAGGCTGCCTGGAGCAGCTGCAGCAGCTCTGGCCCTGAGCTGTGTGCCCCTGGGGTGCCAGGCCTGCAGCCTGGGCACGGGCTAAGCAGAGCTCTGTGCTCTGTGGCACTGTGTCCAGCCAGCAGCCCTTGAGGACGTACCAACCCCAGCTTCTTGCTTATGGCTCGGAAATTACTCTTCCTGGCCAAAGAACTGAATGCATCCGTGATCTTTCCTGGAAAACATGACAAGGGGAAACATCTTGGGAGGCTCTGTCTGGACGGCGGAGCCAGGCTGGCAGTGCTGTGCAGAGCTGCGTGCTCTGGAGAATGCCGTGGTGCTGCCAGCCCTGGTGCCCCAGAGCAGAGCCCCCTGTCCTGCCCTGTCTGCAGCACCATCGCTGGCCGTGTGCCTCCAGCCAGAGCTGGGCCAGCAGCTCCCCTTCCCCGCTCCAGGACATGGGGCAGGGGCTGGCTCACCTGCAGCACGGTCTGTCACCAGCTTGCTGACTTTGCTCTCCACGGCTGTCAGCGTCTCCCCGGCTGCCTGCTCGGTCAGCAGCCCGATGCGCTTCAGGTTGTGGAAGGTCAGCAAGTGCTCAGGTCCGTAGCTCTGTGAGCGGGAGCAGCATCAGATCAGCGTGGGCCCCTCTGTGAGCACAGGCAGCACACGGGCTGCCCCTCTGAGGCAGGGCCCAGGCTGCTCGGAGC